ATTATTTTTCGAACCTAATATGCATGATTAATTATGAGCTATGTAACGAGTTCGATATTGATATATCTATCATTACTCTATCAATATTTAAATATCTGACCCAAATAAAATTTGAATTAAAACATATTTCATTTTAGTCCTCAATTTTTCAAAATATAAAAATAACATATAAAATAAATACATTTTTATTCTAAAATTTTCGGGGCGTTACAATTACTACGTCATTGTGTGAAATTACAAGAGGATTAGGGTTATCGTAAAGGAGTAATCATTGCTTGTGCTAAAAATTTAGGAATTATTTGTTTTGGTTGAAGTACTGGCTTTAACTGCAAGTTGGCAATTGCTTTTGTGCTTTAGTTATTGTCTAGTAACTGTGTGAGACTGCATTAAGCGTGAATTTTTGGAATTTTTGTTAACATACGTTCATGTTGCATTGATTATTTTGTTATAATACCTGAATTTGACCCGTTTGAACATTCCCTTGATCTAATATCGTGAATCTTACGAAACTTTGGAATTTAGAACAATGTATATTGCAGCCCTAAGATTATTTTGTGTGACATATTTGTGCATTTGGTTGTTTTGTTTTCTCAAAATGTCTTTACATTTCGAAATTGAAATTTTTAGTGGGAAATCGGATATTTCAATTTGCCATCAAAAGATGAAGGGGATTTTGGTTCAATAAAAAGTTTCAAAACCATAGATGACAAATATTCTATAAATTTGAGAAGCACAAAAAGACAAATACAATGAATTTGCTTACGCTTCAATAGTTTTACACCCATCTGACACTGTTTTATAGAAAAATTAGAAAACCTCAAAAGATCTTAATGACAATTTGAATATTTTTAACAAACTTGTTCAATATATTGTTAACTATGATGAAAGGGTATCAGAAACATATAAATCCATTATTTTGTTTAATTCGATGTCTGATTCATATAGAGAGATTAAGAATGCAATTAAATATGGTATGGACACCTGAACACCCGTGATTGTCATAGATCCCCTAAGAGTAAAAAGATGGAAATTAAGGCTAAAAAGAAGATAAGATGAGTGGTGAGTTACATACGATGAGGAGTAGAATGAAGTTTTATGTAAATGAATTTGGGGAGAGCTTAAAACAGTAGTGATTCAAGTAGTGACTCGAGTGATGAAGGTGGTAAGAAGAATGACAAGGGACGGAACAAGTCTAGTGGTAAAAAAATGTTACAGTTGTGGTAAGTTTGGACACTTTGTTAGGGACTGTCCAAAGAAGAAGGTTAAGCAAAAGGCTAAGATGAAATGTGACGCGAATGTGACTATAGGGTTGAGTGATGATTCTAGTGAAGTTTATTGAAAGTAAACCTAGTGACTAAATGTACATCTGTGTGTAATCCTGTCTGCATGTGTGTGATTGCCTAATTTTGTTGCATGATTATATGCTGTATTTTAATGTGTTTAATAGGTTCGTTTGCATGAATTTGAGGCAATATGATTACTTGGTGTAATTGTTTACATGCATAGTAGGTTGGGATGCATTAGAAGTGTGTTAAGTGTTTTTTAGTAAGGTGGAGTATAGATGCCTAGGGGTATATTGGAGGTTTGTACCGGGGATGTGGAGTGTGAAATTTGGATCACGAGTTGCAATGTGATTAAATGTCTAAATCCTTTGTCTGTAAAGAGTCCCTAATCAGGTGGAGTGTGAGAGAGACTTCTATCACTTCTATTAGGTAGAACCCATTATTCACATAGATTAGGAGAAGTGATGTGGCGATAGGACAGCATCCCATAGACTTGGGATCTATTGTAACTTACCAATTAGACATAAATTGAGTGATCAATCTAGTGAGCATGGTGAGCGATGAAAAGAGACATGTGTTCTCGAGGTGGGAGCAATAGGGAATGGGATATGATAAGTGTGGTGAGATTTTTTCATGGGGTCATTTATGTATTTGTTGCATATGTGTTAGTCATCTCTTAATTAACTTGGTGTTAATCTGTTGTTATATGTGAACGTGATTTTTTGAAAAGATTTGTGTATGTCGTCCTATATTGTATCTTCATTGCATGATTAATTGTTGTTCATTGATTACTGTGAATATTTGCTTCTATTTGGGTGTTCTTGACCTTAGCCCTGGTGAGTACATGGATAAGGTATGGCATGTGTTTTGAGTCCGAAACACGAGGTAAAATCTGTGATCCCAGTTTTATTGGTTACCTTGATTGTGCAAATACTAGCAGCATGTTTCGATTGCTTACTGGTTTATTAGCCATTAAGGAGCAAATTTGTAGTGTTTTGATAACCAATAAATCTCAGGTGATGATGTTAAACAAGTTTTGGATGATATTTCATAGGCCTCGATCGATAAATGAAATATTTATTAACCAATCGATTTATATGCTCAACTCGAAACAACGTGAGCCATTAGTAGCAACTTAATTATATTAATGTTGCTTTGGCCAAAATTCACTTATAGGAAGGCTTTCTTCTGTCTTGACCCAATTAACGATATAACCTAAAGCTATATATATATCCATCTCTAAGTGAGGAAGCTGTGTGAGTGTTTGCCTTTGTTTGAGAAGAAAAAACGTGGCTACCCTCTCGTTCCCTTCTTCGAGTTTTTGCCTTCTTTTGTCTTCTCTTTGCCTTTATGACTTGCAAATCACTACTATATCCTTGTTCCTTTGTGGGTGAGAAATAAAGAAAGCAACCTTAAGTGAATAGAGTTGTGGGTTGGAGTTTTTGGTCGGTTGGTTGATATTGATTGGTAAGTTGAAACTGAGTTCAGAATCCATTCATTGAAGATCAATTCCGCTACACTTATTTTTCTCAAACTCATTTTCAACTAACATTTCATTGAACCTACAATTTTTATCAAATTTTCAATATAAAATTTTATCAAAATCTACAAAATTTATGATTTCTAGGTAAACTAAATATGGCTAAGAGCCTGTTTGGGCCCGATTTTTTCCCCCAAAAATTTGATTTTTTGACCGTTATTTTATTATTACAATCGTCATATTTGACTTCTTCTCTCACAGGTGGACCCTACTTTTCTCCTAACGGCCAAAAAATCAATTCTCAAAATCACTCCCAAACAGGCTTTAAATAACATTACCCCTACAAATGTTTTGGTAAGTTCAGTTCATGCATCACTCACTAAAATATTGATGGTAAATGCAAGTGCGCTTTCTACTTGAGCAAATATATTTTCCTGTTTTTGTTCGGGCACCAAAAAGGGGCATTAATTTTGAGCACCCACTCAAGACAAATTTGTAGTGTTTCTTGGTGCAAAGCCCTCATTCAGATTTTTCTTAGTCCTCCAACCACTTCTCAATTCTATCCTCACCAGTCACCTCCTATAAATAACCAGCAAAAGTCCACGCACAATTGCAATAGGCATGGCTAAAATATTCATAGTATTATTCTCCCTGATACTTTTGGTGGCTGGAGAATTCGCTCTTTCCAATGATAGGAAAATGATGATTACTGAAGAAAAAGTCAAGATGAACACCACAGTCGACACTGGAAGCACGGCCAGGAACACGAGCGCAATCCCGAGCTCCGCCATAGACGACGACATAAGAAATCCCCATACCATTCCCAGGGAGTCATGGGATAACAACCAAAATCCCTATAGCCCCTCCAACAAACAAGACAAGTATGCAACATCCCATTACAATGGTTAAGCTGTCCTAAAGTTCTTTATGTAACATATTGTGTGCATGAAATATGCTAGTTGTACAAATATTTTTAACAGATGAGGTTAAAGGTGTTAAGCTGGCGAGATTTCATTGGCCGGTTTAACAATTTTTTTTTTTACTTTTTTTTTTCAAACGGTGTAAAATCTTGCCAGTTCAGCATTCTGTAATCACATATGTTAAATCAGCCGGTACAAGTGACATTTCTCTTGTGTGCATAGGCAAAATTATCTTTATGTCGTAAACGTCAGTCCAAAACTTCATGTATGTGATTGAACATTAGAAAAAAATAAATGACTAAAAATTGAAGTAGCCAGACATAAGAATTCAGGTGTAGAGCCAATATCAGTTGTTTCAAAGGCTAGCTCAATCTTTGCATGAGCCCGCATTAATAAAGAGGGTATGTTAAGAGATAAAAATTTCACATCAAATAAAGAATAAAACATGAACCAATTTTTAAAAGATTGGACTACTCTGAATAATGTTGACATTTTAAAATGGAATTACAAGAATTAATATAAATTCGTTAATAACAACTTTTAGAGCTTAAGCATCCAAAATAATTGTCAATTTTTGATAAGAAGTAGAGCTCTCAAATCAATCATAAACGTGCCACAGACAGTTGAACTTGAAAAAACTTTCTAGCTGCCTAATAAAGTCAAGCCGTTAACTTCCATATATATGGCAGTTGCACTTATAGAATTCACTGGTGTGTGCAAGTAACACGGTAATTGACGTTTCATTATACTTGAAGTCAAATTTGAGGTCCTGTATAATATATGAAAAAATAGTGATTCCATGTGACAACGTCTGAACTCTCTCAACTTTGCCTGGGCTTAATGGTCAACATAAAAATATAAGCAAACTCATACATCATTTTCTCATTTGAGACTATTATCATAGAATAGCAAAAGCAAGTTTGACAAATTGCCATCTTATAATTATTGTAGTTAATTAGTAATTCGGAGATCTTCTTCGGTGAATCGCACAAGAAAAAACATATAAAGAGTAACCACTACGATCTTTTTATGTTTTAATTATTTAAGTTATTGGATTAGAGAAATTACTATTCCACTTTTATGTTAAAGAGAAACCGCTACTGTTTCTATAACTTTCTTATTTGTACAATATTTTTAACTTATGATATACCTGAATTTTTGTTTGTAATAAAATTTTCACATCAATATTCTGATTAAAAATGATATATTTTAGTTACATTCCTTGATTTTTCCTTGTGCAACTAGCAATTACCAGGAAATGATAATTTTTTTCTCGTCAAAAGCTTTGCTTTTATTTCTTGTCAGAAGGTTCACACTTGATTTTTTTGGGGAATATTTTCGAGAAATCTTTAAGTTTGTAATAGCCTATCAATGCTTTTTCCAAGTGAAAAGACCCTACTGATAAGAATTAAGATTCCTTGACACGTTCACTTTTCATTTCTTTGCTCAAGCAATTTTTTGGCCTAGTGAGATTCTAAGAGATTGGAGATGGCTCATGCCGCTGTTGTTTCTCTTATGCACACTCTTGAGCAGATCTTCCAACATCCAAATCCACATTTGAATCCTTATGAGCAGCAAGAAATTGATTGTCTTTTTAAAAAACTCAGCTTTTTACTAGATTTTCTTGAAGAATATTACCAAAATAGGGGCGATCGTGTGATATCAGTGGAAATAAAAATCAGGGATGTGGCTTACAGTGCAGAAGATGTAATTGAATCCCGTATATGCAATACTGTTCTTCCACAATTCGGAAGTCAAGGACAGGAGAGTTCCTCACAGCACCTACTTCCTGTGCTCCCAATATCGGACAGCGACCCTCATACAGACTTGCAGAAGATAATAAAAGAATTTGATTCCATCATAGAAGAGGTGGTGAAGATTGCGGGCTTGCAGAAAAAAATAACAGAAATTGATGCAATAATGGAAGGAGCGATGAAGATTACGGAGGGGATCGGGCAGTCAGGGCATTTTTTGCCATCAAGACCTGAACATAGTGGCCAGAGTACTACAGTAGGATTTGAGGAAGATTTGAAGCAGGTAAGGGATCGACTCTGTAATGAATCAGCTGGACTCCAAATCTTCCCCATTGTTGGGATGGGAGGCATTGGCAAAACTACTTTAGCTAGGAATGTTTATGATGATCCATTTGTTGCGTATCACTTTCATATTCGTGCTTGGGTAACACTATCTCCACAGTATCATAAGAGGAAACTTCTTCTAAGCCTTCTAGATCACTTTGTTGTTCTTACTGGTGGGATACGCAAAGAGAGTGATGAGAAATTAGCAGGTCGCCTTTACAAAAGTCTAAAGGGTAGGAGATATCTAATTGTAATTGATGATATTTGGAGCACTACTGCTTGGGATAACATGAAATTGTTATTTCCAAATGACAACATTGGAAGCCGAATCATAGTGACAACCAGGCTAACAGATGTGGCTGGTCATGCTGGCTCATCTAGAAATCATCACCAGATGCGTTTTCTAAATGAGGAACAAAGTTGGAATTTATTTCGTGGAAAGGTGTTTGGACAAGAAATTTGCCCTCCTGAATTGGAAGATATAGGAAGGACAATTGCAAAAAATTGTCAGGGACTTCCATTAACTATTGTGGTGATTGTTGGACTCCTCTCAAATGTCAGTAAAGCACGAGATTATTGGGAGTATGTTGCTCAAAATATAAGCTCAATTATAGCAGAAAAAGATGACCAGTGCTTGAAGATATTAACATTAAGTTTCGAGCACTTGCCTACTCATTTGAAAGCTTGTTTTCTTTATATGGGAGTTTTCCCTGAAAACTATGAGATTCTCATTTCTAGACTCATCAAACTATGGGTTGCTGAGGGATTTCTAAAACCGAAAAAACATAAACAGTTGGATGAGGTTGCAGAGGAATACCTTATGGAACTCATAAGTAGAAATCTTCTTTTGGTTTGTCGAAAAGGGTCTAATGGGAAAATTAAATCCTGCGGCATACACAATCTTTTGAGAGAGTTCTGCGTGAAGACAGCTCATAAGGAAAATTTTTTTTGTGTCAAGAGCAGGTATCTGCACTTTCTTCCGGAAGAGGCAACTTTCATGTGGCGCCGCCTGAGTATTCACGACGATGCCTCGTATAGTCCAAGTGAAGAGGGCATGACTGTGCAATCAATGTCTCGTGTACGTTCTTTCATATATACTGGTTGGGATGAAACTCAATTGCATTCTTATTATTATTTTGGTTGTCTATTGCTGAGGGTATTGGATATGGTTGGACTACAACTACTTAACTTAAGGTACATTGCTATCACCTGTCTCGGTAAAATCCCTCCTGCTATTACCTTGCTTAGGAATCTACAGACTTTAATTGTTGAAGACCCATGTGGAATTGCCATTGAACTACCGGATGAAATTTTTAATATGCCGCAATTAAGGCATGTCATAATTTCTCGAGCCTCCCTGCCTCCTGTTTTCTCTATCCCATTCCCTGATAGTGATAAACATTTCGTTCTAGAAAACCTAGAGACACTTTCGAAGGTACAAGATTTAGGAATGACAAAACACGTCCTTGAAAAAATACCAAATGTAAAGAAGTTGGGAATTCATTATAATACCACCATATGGCATGTCTATGATGTCCACCTGAAAAAACTTGAAATACTAAAGATTGTCTTTGATTTGCCCACAAATTCAACTTTCCTGCGGAGCATCACTTCTGTGCCAAGGCTCAAAAAGATAACTTTGGAACGTGGTAGAATTGGTTGGGAAGATATGACGATTTTTGGTTCGTTGCCAAATCTTGAAGTGTTGAAATTGCGCGAGTTTGCCTTCATAGGCCCAGTGTGGGTACCAATTGATGGGGAATTTCCTAAACTAAAATTCTTGCACATTCGGGAGACGGATTTGGAGCACTGGAGAGCGGACAAAATCCATTTTCCAAGGCTTGAGCACCTAATCCTGCGGAACTGCTCTAAACTGGTAGAGATCCCACCTTGTATTGGAGAAATAGAAACGCTTGAAATAATTGAGATAGACTACTCCAGTCCTTCCGTCGTAAAATCTGCAAAGGATATACTTAGTGACCGACAGAGCCAGGGAAATGAAGGCCTTGAAATTCTCTTCCATCCAACGAAAGCAAGGCTTAATCCTTTAAAATTTGGGGTAATTCAATCCCTCATCCTATATTTTTTCATGTTACTTGAACTTTTTGATGCATCAGGGCTGACATTGATGAATCTGCCTACAGTTATGGCAAGATGACTCAGGTGTAATTCATCAACCAAAAAGGAAACTCGATATGTTAATGGTAAATTAATTACTCGCTCTACATTTATATATTATCTTCTTAACTTAGATACTTCAGGGAAAATATTGATTAACCTGTCAACTCATCCAGCAAGAGGCCTCTCCAGCCGTTCAAAATGTTGAGTCGTCACAGGTAAATCAATTCCTCACACATTTTGTGTACTACTTTCTTAATTTAGATAAATCAGTGAAAATATTGATTAACCTGCCAACTCGTCCAGCAAGGGGCCTCACCAACTATTCGAAGTGACGAGTCGTCACAGGTAAATCAATTCCTCACACATTTTGTGCGCTACTTTCTTAATTTAGATAAATGAGTGAAATATTGATTAACCTGCCAACTCATCCAGCAAGGGGCCTCACCAACTGTTCGAAGTGACGAGGTGTCACAGGTAAATCAATTTCTCACATATCAGGGAAAATGTCTGCTAGTTTCTTAATTTAGATACATCCGGATAAGTATTGATTAACCTGCCAAAACATCTAGGAACAGGAATCTCCAGGTGTTTCCGATGACGTGTGGCAAGGTAAATCAATTCCTCGCCCATATTTTTATTTTAGTTTCTTAATTTAGATACATCAGGGAAAAAATTAATCATTTGGCCAACACATTCAAAATGATGAGCAGGCACATGTAAATCAATTCATCGCACATATTTGTATGCCAACACATCCAAAGAATTTTAAGGCTGTGGCCCTATAGATGGGCCGCGAGAACCCGTTTTCAAAGATTGATGAGAATACGAGCAAATTTGGTCCAGTACGGTCCATTAATTAGAAAATTGATTAATACATTTTTATTTTATATTTTCATTATATATTAATTGACAGTTTATTTGACCTTGAGAGTTAACACTGGATCACGATTTGTTGCTTGGACCTATAGGTCGATATGGGATTTTTGATCTAAACCTACCTTCACCTCACGACGATGAGATATAAAAGCATTATTTGCACCGGATGAAAAGAATGTCCGGTAATTGACGTTGAGTTGGTAAAAATAATGTTAGTGTGGATCCTACTGATCATTTGTTTGCAAGCTTGCCTTCGCCTTGCTTGCAGGCAGGCAGGCCAAATTTCGCCTCTTTTTTGTCCTTTATGCCAGTGGTTCGGCCAGGCTGGAGCAGGGGTCGGGGCCACACCACCTTTCACAGATGCAGCAGCAGTTTAGGTATTTTGAGAGCTCACCGCCAAACGGGCGATTTGAGCATCCGTTTATAAAGCAGACAAACCAGCAGGTGTACTGAGTGGGGGCGCCGGGTTCATAGTAGTAATGGTGTAGTGGTGTCTCCATTGTATGTCGAGGATTTGGAGTTGCCTTGGGAGGAAAGTCCTCACCCTGTTTCCAACTCGGAATGATTGAAATTGGGGTATATCTTTCTCCTCAATTTGGCTTTTAGGCATTGTGAAAATCTGCATTTGGATTAACATTTAGTATTTATTTTAGTAACATATTCCAATCAATTCTGAGTTCTTAGCTGTTCTTGATAGGTGGAGCTATTAGCATTACGCTTCAGGTAATCTACTACTGCTTAAATGCTTGTGGCAGTCATGTATATCTTGATCTCTATATGTTAGACAGAGTCTTCAATTTTGGTTTCAAACAATCCAATTCCATTTTTCCATAACTGTAAACAAGTTGTAAGTAGCATTCGTGTCCATGCCAGCTTCTGGTGTTGAAAACAAGCAATCGAGTTATTGTTAAGTTGAACAGAGAAGCCCCATTGATTGGGTATGGTTCCATCTCCCAGTGGTGAGCAAACAACAGCCTTCGTGTCCATGCCAGCTTCTGGTGTTGAAAACAAGCAATCAAGTTATTGTTAAGTTTGAAGATCAACATGGCTCCTCCTAGAAAATTCACATTATTCCTTCTTTTCTACTGAATTGATCGTAGCCACTACCTACAATCCAGGAAGATGAATGCCACAAGTAGAAACTTACAAAGAGCCCACGACTTGTGATCTTGTAGAAAGACATCTTACCTTCTGAGCAAGATGAGAATTTTTCCTTGTGCCCTTCTCATTGAAAACAATGCTCCAGTGTTCCACTCGCACTTTTTAAGCATTTGGATCAAGATCGTAGCTCTGATCTATGATAGCATGGGAAGTTGATTGGTTGCCTGAACTTAGTAAATTAGTATATCAAAGAAGATGGTGTGGCCTAAAGGTTTGGTTAATTCTTGATTATGCAGCTTTGGGTGAAAGCTTGGCAATTACAATGAGATCATAATGTCTTCAAGAAGTTTGAGATGGTGATACAGATCCATGGGCTACATAATTGCACGTTTTGTTGACATTTTCCGGAAGGATGCTGTTTTTAAATGGTGAAAGCAACTTTTGAAGCCATTGGTATTGAAATGCACACCAGGACTCATCCTACGTATGTTGTTCTGGACCACATTTAATTCCAACCCTTGCTTGGTGCATTTTTTTTTAATAATTTTGCAGCTCATTTTTGAAGGCTTCAAGGCTTGCTCTCTTGTAATCAATATTAGGACCAATTTTTGCATTAGGAAAATAAAATATGCTGGAATTGTATTTCCACTCATTGGGTTTGTTTTTGTACTTGGATAGCTATTTTGTAATTGGCATCTTCAATAACTTTTAGATGTACAGTTTTATATATCTGATTTTCAATAATTTCTATTTTTTACTGTTTTGTTATGTTAAATAATCGACTTTTGAGACTTACCTCTTTGTTAAGGTGTCGTATATTATTAAGACTATATTAATATTGACTTAGCCCTTTATTTGAGCCCCATTTTTCCAAAAATGCATTTTTTTTCAAATTTCATTTTATACATTCTCCAAAAAATTACTATTCCATAATACATTTTACTCCAAAAATGGAGATCAAACAGGGGTTTAAAAAGTGACATGTTATGTCACTTTTTAATTAAAAGATAATACACAATTAATTTCTAATGGAATAAACATTTTTTACTAAGCTTACAATTTGATTATAAGAATTTCTTGAACAATATTTAGATATCAATTTTATTTTTTAAGTGATATGCTAATTTTTTAATTAAAAGGTCTCACATCATGTAATTTGACTATATACAGTGTTTTTTTGGAACACTTTTCATCCAATTGTCCAAAAGCCCTTGATTTTAGAGGTATTTATTTAGCTCCTGTTTGAGCAGCATTCTTTCGAAAAAAAATACATTCTTAAATAGTATTTTGATATCATTTTAACTACACATTCTTCAATAAAACAATATTACACGTAAATCCAAATTTTATTTATTTTTTAACTACATATTTTCTATTAATACATTATTCAAAAATGTATTCTTATAAAAAAAAAAAAAAAAAAAGGGACTCAAATAAGGGCTTAAGTTGCCCCAACAATATAATTCAAGTGGAAATTACACCCACGCAAGCTTTTTAAATTCCCAATTCAAAAGTTAGATGTAAAGTTTATTTATACAAAAATCACATATTAATTCAAATATTAAAAATTAGTATTTTAATATAAATAATAATATTATAAATTAATTTATATACACAATATATTCCATCAAACCAATTCAAACCCTAAATCATTTTATCTCATTTCCTTCCATTCTCACTTCTATCCTCTCTTCACCTCCTGTCTCTTTGTACGTTCTCCCTTAAACCATCGTAGCTGTCGGGTGCGTCCTCCTCCGGATGTCACCTTCGATTGTCGTTGCACAGTCATGCCTATATGTGAGCGTCACGGCTGCATCATCGCTATGACGCTACTCGCTGCCTGACATGAGCACCAAAAACGGAGTTATAGGCAAAGTAAGCTGTGCTTTTGGCCTTGACGAAGTAGGATTTGTGTTTTGGCATTGGCGAAGTAGGATTCGTGCTTTGGATCTATGTTTGGATCAATGGATGTCATTGTCACTTGCAGAGCGATACGATATGGGTTGGTTGGTTGGTAGTGGTTGTGATTTGTGGTGTATGGCGTGGTCGTGGTGCAGATGGATGGGTGGGGGGTGTTTGTGGTGGTGCGGTGGTTGGGTGCGTGCGGTACATGGTGTGGCGGTGACTGTAATAGTTCGTTTTTTTTTGTTAGTGCTAGATCTAGCGTGGCAACATGGTAGTGTTTTCTGTGGTGGGTTGATTTATTTAAGGTGGTGGTGTTGCTATCGAAAGGTCGTTGTGGTAGTTTAGGCGATGGTGGTGGTGGTGGTGCAATTGGAGGCAAGGGTGAAACAGTGGTCACAAGTGTTGGTGGTAGTCACAAATTATTTGGTTGGCTATGACTATTAAATTGGCTAATATGTGACCAATAAACAATATGTGGCTAATGAAAAGAGATAGATTATGACCAAGAAATAACGTGTGAAGTAACAATTTGTTAATTTATGACTGATAATTTGTGACTCATAGTAATTGTCATTTGTGATCGATAAATAAATTGAAATCGATGAACAAATTATGACCTATAAAATTTTTGAATTGTAACCATAAAATAATTTGTGATATATAAAAATTTTGATTTTTGATCAACAAATAATATGTCGCTAACTAAATCATTAATTTATGAACAAATTGAAGACCTTAATATATTTAATAATAAAATATATAATTAATTAATTAAATCATAAATAAATTTTAATAAATATCTAATTTTTGAAATTTGAAACATTTGTTCTTAGTTTTCAAATATGTGATATTTAACCAGTTAGTTATGAATTTTTCCCATATTTAAACCTAAGAAGACCAACAGGGCCAACTAGTCCAACAAGCTCTTTGATCTAGCAAGATGTGTTGGATCTCTTTCTTCCATCGAAGTTCGAACTTGATGTTTACAATACAAGAAACTATATGGGAAAATTAGCTTAAACCCTACATATAGCCTTTGTTTGTCAACCACTGTATCACATTCTACCACATTATTTTTTCTACAGTATTCATTTTCAATCACACATTTTTCATTAAAACAATATTACATGTAAATAAAAAAAAATTTTAACCACACATTTCAATGTCAATTACTATTCCATAATACACTTTTTGAAATTAAATGAGCACAAATTGGCCCATAAATAGACTCACTATTCAAAATTATGACTTTCACTAATCAGATGATAATTAAAATTAATCAAATAAAAAATACACAATTAACTAAGGAATGTTGTAAATGGAAAGTTCATTAAAGTTTATTAGTGAATGACATTTGTACCCATGTAGCCCTAGAAATTATTACTATTGTATCCCTGATTCTTACCTATAAATATAGGGCTTTGGTTTTCAATAATACACATAAAAATTTTATTGAATTTTCTCTATTCTCTTTGAGTTTTTTCTATTCTCTTTTCCTCTCGTTTTATAACACGTTATTAGCACGAACCTGTTAGAAGGTAGTAATTTTTTTTTTCATAATCATCTATCACGTATATCAAAATTAATTTGATAATACGTGAATTTTACATATACATATGTTGAATCTGCAATATGCGATCTCATCTTTCTCGATCATTATGTTTTCTTTGTACCTCTCTTTGAATTAATTAATGTTTTTTTTCCTTTACATCAATTCACGTGCATTTTTATGGAGATATATTTATGCTAATTCAATTGATATGCATTAATTTATGTTCCTATACACTCCTTATATTTAGATTAGCCATTTACGTTCTACACATGCTTATAATTTTTTTTTTTTTTTTGTTTAATTGGTCAATGTTCTTTGTAAGCAAGCTTCAATTCCAAATCTCTATTTTGGCTGATTCCATATATATATAATATACAATTAACAAATAAATGTATCCAACTCATCTTTTCTCTCAAATCCATTGGTTTCTGCAAATTTCATGCCTTAATTGGTTAATACTAATTCAATTCTTTTAATTGCACATAATTAGAATTTTGTGTCATAATATGTGAATAGGTTTCTACATGTCATCAATTTTTTTTCTTTGTGTTTCACTAGACTCACGTTATTAATTCAAAATAATATTTTACATGTATTTGTATATTAATTAATGGTGAGCAATTGGATGTATTATCATTTTTTTAATGTTTAGTTATGAAACATTACATTAAATTTATTTTTAATTGTTGTTGCTCCTGAAGTAGCACAACATTATAATTAATATTCCAGAAGAATATTAATCATAGATCTATTCGTTGTTGCTCCAGAAGTACCACAACATTATAAGAATATTATTTGCTCCTGAAGAGCATAAATTATAACTCTCAATATTTTAGAAGAATATTAACATATTGTACTTGAAGAAATAATAGCAAAATATAATGTGCTCCATAAGTAGCATATGTTTCGAAGAACATATTATTTCAAATTAGTGTTTATCCCTAGAGAAAAACACGTAACTTAAAGTCATGTTGATATTAACTATTTGATGTTATGATTAATCATATTTTTCGAAACTAATTGTATTTTTTTATTGTGTAGTTAAACAAATGGCAAACATTACGAAACTTGAGTTTGCTGCACTTGACATATCTGGTAAAAATCATCTGTCATTGATATTGGATGCTGATATCCATCTCGTCTCAAAGTGTCTGGGAGAGACAATAAAAGAGGAAACAATGAATCCCTGCAGGATCGTGCAAAAGCACTTATTTTCCTTCGCCACCATCTTCACAATGGATTAAAAATTGAATATCTCACTTAGAAAGATCCACAAGTTCTTTGGAAAAAGTTAACTGAAAGATTTGATCATCAGAGGACTATAGTCCTCCCCAAATCCCGCTATGAGTGGATGCACCTTTGTTTGCATGACTTTAAAACAGTTAGTGAGTACAATTCTGAATTGTTCATAATATGTTCAAAGTTGACTTTGTGTGGAGAATAAATCACCGATGAAGATATACTGAAAAAACTTTCTCCATCTTTCATACCTCGAATGTGCTCCTGCAGCAGCAATATCGTGAGCGTGGCTTCAAAAAGTACTCAAAACTTATATCTTGCCTACTAGTTGCTGAACAAAATAATGAATTGTTAATGAAAAATCATGGATTACGTCCAACTGGTTCTATACCATTGCCTGAAGCAAATGGTACTACATTGTCTGAAACAAATACAATATCAAGACAAGGACATGGACGCGGACGTGGACACGGTCACGGACGTGTACGTGGAATAAATCATGGAAAAAATAATAAACAAAGTTATCAACAATAAGTCAATAAATTCAAAAGGCACAAAGCAAACGAGAGTGGCAAATCTAAAAAGGAGCATGAAGAAAGTTGCTTCAGATGTAGAATGAAAGGGCATTGGACACGTACGTGTCGTACCTCAAAATATCTTGTGGATCTCTACCAGAGATCAATCAAGAGAAAAGAAAAATTGGAGGCTAATTTTGCTGATTATGATGGTCCAATTGATGTGACTCATTTGGATGTCTCCGATTTCTTTACTGATCCAAATGGAAATATTGACCATTTGGTTGGGGGTAGTGTGATAGAAGATATAGATTAATTTACTAGTATTTTTTTTGTTTTAAAAATTCAGTCTGAAATATATTTTTCCTTTTCCGCACAAAAATAAATAAATAAATAAAACTCTATTATGCACCGTTTATTTCATGATATTAAGTAATGTTTACTTCTTTAAATCTAAATTCAAGTTTTTTTTTAAAATTTTTTTTGTTTATTTTGTTATATTTATAGATTCATGAT